TTTTTCTTCTCGAAAAGTTTCGAGTGACCAGAATATATACGCATATATATTTTTCCATTGCACTCTATGTGCTGGAAATCACGATAGAAAGCATTGCATGAATTAGGGTACAAAAATTACAGCATGCTCCTTGAAAAATATTTTTTTTTTGCCAAATGTTAGCCTAATTGACAATTCAGACTGGCGCTGGTCAGCAGAAGTTTTTTTGCTGGTCCCCTGGAAAATTTCTTCCTCATATTGAATTTAATAAAATTATAGTAATGAAGTCTGTCATTAAACATTTTGGAGACAATGGCAGTTGAAATTATCTGATGAAAAATAAATTGTTGGGTTTTCTCCGAATAGCAAATTCAAACATGCTAGATTCTCACTAGCTGAAATATATTACTTTACTGTACAGCTTTTCCAGTTTTCAACCTGAGAAACCTTTCTCCAAGCCCATCGTCATATTTTTTGAAAGACATTTCAACTTTATAGCTTCGTCACCACTTCTTGACTTAAATTTGCCATAAAAGTTTTCTTATTTTGAGGACTGTATGGCAGGTATTTTTAAAATTTTCTGCTGGTCATCAAAAATTGTACAGAACATTGCTGGTCTGCAAATAAATATATGAAAACATGCTGGTCTGTGAGCCCAAAAAGGTTGGGAACATTGATGTTATGCATGTTTTATTTTCATCCCGATTCGGAATCAGGGAAGATTTTCTCTCAATTTAAAGTTTTAGTTGACACAAGCTTTCATTTGGCAAAACTGGGAAAAAATAATCCATAAGGATTGAACAATTCAATTTGACCTCTGACTTTGACGGTTTAAAAATCGAGGATTTTTTTCGAATTTCGTGCCTCAATCGCAGAAATGCCAGCAAGAGTAATGATTCTTTTTTTTCAAAATCGAAATTTACGACCAGTGATATTTCAAGAACAGACTAGCTAAAAAACATGAGTAATTTTCCAAAGATTGAACAATTGAATTCACACACCGTCTTTAATAAAACCTTGAAAAGTACGGTTTTAAGAATTCCGGGCCATCCATTCAGAATCAGAACTAAAAGCAGTTGGAATCACATAAATTTCAACAGCGAGTGAAATTCCAAAAAATATGCGGTTCCTGGAATTGCCACTATAAAGAACTTTGAAAACAAAGGAATTCAATCACAAGGATTTACGACTGTTGAATTTGTACTCTAAATTCAGAACTTTAAAAGTGATGATTTTTCGAATAGTATGCCTCAATCTCGGATGAAGAACATCATACGGAATGATAAAATGTTCAACAACGAGAAATTTCGAAAACTTTGCGGTTTCTGGACTCGCTGTTAAAAATCCCAATAAAGGCTTTCTTCCGATTCATTTAAAGAAAGTCTTGTTTCAATGAAACACAGAAACTTTTTTCAAACGATTTCTCGCAATATGATCGAAAATTGATCAATTTGTATCGATTTCACGTCATCTTTTGTGTCTGAATGAAGAGGCCAAAGAAAGAATCTGTCATAGCAGAACAACTCCTTGTCATGAGATGACCCAGAATCCAAAACGAAAGGAGACCGCGTTTTGACGACATACTGAAACCGTGGGATGAATGCCAATAATCTTCACGATTTCATGACCATGCCAGGGGTTTTTCGCAAAATTTGGTCCAGTGTCTTTGAGAAAAAAAAAGATATCCAAGACTTATTGTCAAAGAAAAATAATAATCAAACGGAACAGACTTGAATATCTGGGCGTGAAAAAGAAATTCGTTTCGAAATCTATAAGGCTCAAAAGTTTCAAAAATTAACGTTTCAAAACTCCAAACTGAATTTCCTGAATTCATTAAAAATTTTCGCATTGATTTCACGGTTTTATTTTTCAAAATTATGACGCCTACTCCAATTGAAATTGTAATTGCTGAAATATTAATAAATTCAAGTAAACCTTGCTGCTGTCTTGCATCCATTGTTCTAACTTTTTTTTGTAAATTACATTCAGCGTATTAGTGTTCGTGTTAATTTATCCTTTTAATTCCGAAAGTTTTCAATTTAATATAAAATTCCACAGATTTTTAATTAGGTTCAAATTTCTCTAGAAAATGATTTCATTGTTCAATCTGCTCGGACCGATTCAGGAAACAAGATTTGAAAACTTCTGAGATTTCGCTGGAAATTAAATTCATTCTCCAGGATTATGATAACTTTGACTGTGTTCGAAAATAAATTGAAAAACTTTTGATGGGCTTTGTGATTTTCCACTGACTTTTCGAAGTAATCCGAAAGTTGTGGTTTTTATTTTGAAGTAAAAGACTTTAAATCTATATTGTTTAATATGTGTGTTGGTTATTTCAGCAAATTTAATTCCTCGGGGTTTCTTTAATAAATAAATAAATATTGTCAGTATAATTCTGAAAGCTTGATTCTTTGATATATCAGTACTTATCAAACTGTGTTTTTTTTTGCTTGTCAAATGCGCCATTGAAGTTCAAGAGTTTCATGAAGGCCCTTTTACAGTGTCTTCAATGTCTCGTCTTTGTTATTTCATTTTGTTCTTTGAATTATTTTTTTTTACGAGTTTTCCCCCTCGGCTCAGCTCGACTTATTGTTCTACTTAATCCACTCGACGTGTCAGTCGACGAAGAAACTCTCGTCAGTGACGTTTTCATTTCTTGCGGTCTCTTTCGCTTTTCGAGATGGTGATTTTCACTGTACTTTTCGCGAATTTTCTTTTGGCGGAAGCGCGAGAAAATGGCACGAATGATTCTGGAATTGTGTCGAGCAGAGTGTCGACACGGATTCATTACGACGGCTACAAGGTCGTCAGGTCGGTGGCTTTGACCCCGAATCAACTGCTGGGGCTCTGGGATTTGACCTGGGAAACGGATTTTGATTTCTGGTCATTTCCGACTTCTATGTTCTTGCCGGTGGATATTGTGGTAGCACCGGAAAATTATGAACGTCTCAGGACGGAATTGAAACAAAGGGTGAGTTCCACAAAAACAACAAAAATATTTATTGATTGATTAATTTTTCCGGAATTTGCGGTATTTACGCAAGTACCACGCACGCCATATTTTCGATATTAAGAAATAAAGGAGGTGCGCATAAAAGAAAATGCACAATTTTCAAGATGTAATTTTGAAATTTTAGAAATTTCTGGTGTGCATCATGATAATGGATTCTGACAGAAAATTGTAGCCAATCCTGATTTTTTTTCTTTAAATCTTAATTTTAAAAATTAAGTATTTTATTAAACTGGGTCAGAGCCAAGTCAAAATCAGAATTGTGAGGCGTTTCTTTTTGTGTAACTAAAAATTGGCTGTTCTTGTTGCCTGCCAATTTTTGGGTGAGGAAGTTAGGTGCATGTCTAACTTAAGGGTTCGTGGAACTTGAGTAAATAACAAAAAGTATTATGATTTTTTAATTGAACATATTGTAATCTATATGATTCAAGAGAGGGTCAGTACAGCTGGACCTCAGTAACTCAAATATTTCTAAGCCAGAATTCTCCCTTGGTAAAATTCTTATGTTATTCCCTGCATGAAATCATTTAAGAAAAATGTACTGTCCACTTTAAATCAGACATTTCCCCTCTAAAACCTTAACAACTGAAATTTTCTGTAGGGCTCAGGGCAATTATTTTGGAAGCCCTGGAAAAAGAAGGTTTTCAAGAGAATTTCAAAAAGAAATTAATTTCCAGTATCAAAAATTCCTTGAATCAATTCATTTGAGGGTCCCTTGCAGGTTGAAGAGGTTTGACTGTACTGTATTGTGTTTTCTGACTATATTGTGAAAGAAGTCGAGAGATGCATTTTTTAGGAGAACTTTTTTTCTTATTTGATTTGCCATTTTTTAGAGATCGAAAACTAAAAAAAANCTTGCAGGTTGAAGAGGTTTGACTGTACTGTATTGTGTTTTCTGACTATATTGTGAAAGAAGTCGAGAGATGCATTTTTTAGGAGAACTTTTTTTCTTATTTGATTTGCCATTTTTTAGAGATCGAAAACTAAAAAAAAATTACTCATATCAAGTCATACTAAGATTTTGCATATATTTTTCTCATAGAAGGTCATATTTTAATTTTATTTTATTGGTTCACTGCACTAGCAACTCTTTAGGAGAATCTCATTACAGCAAATCTCATAAATTAAATAAAGAATGATTGAATGAATGCCTCTAATGAATATGTTTTGGTCCTTTTCCAATAATAGCCACAATGTCATTTTAAATTGGTTTCCCCGAATTTTTGTTTATGACAAAGCTTTTTCAGATTCCGAATTGCTTTGTTGCAACAAGATTCCACTGTATTATAATTATGGCGTACAGTATTTAGTCCGGGTGATTACGTTATTAAAGAATTAAGGAACTTTGCTCTAAAATCCAAGGATTCTTAGTTTTTCATTTTTCTTATCAAATATTGCGTGTTTCACTCTGCTGACACAGGGTTTGATCAGCTGGTTGAATACAGATGATGTGGAAAGGACCCTTTTCACTTCAAGTCCATACGGTTCCGGTGTGACTGACGACCGGAATTTCGACCCTACGCAGTTCAACAGATAGAGGTTTGACTGTACTGTATTGTGTTTTCTGACTATATTGTGAAAGAAGTCGAGAGATGCATTTTTTAGGAGAACTTTTTTTCTTATTTGATTTGCCATTTTTTAGAGATCGAAAACTAAAAAAAATTACTCATATCAAGTCATACTAAGATTTTGCATATATTTTTCTCATAGAAGGTCATATTTTAATTTTATTTTATTGGTTCACTGCACTAGCTACTCTTTAGTAGAATCTCATTACAGCAAATCTCATAAATTAAATAAAGAATGATTGAATGAATGCCTCTAATGAATATGTTTTGGTCCTTTTCCAATAATAGCCACAATGTCATTTTGAATTGGTTTCCCCGAATTTTCGTTGATGACAAAGCTTTTTAAGATTCCGAATTGCTTTGTTGCAACAAGATTCTACTGCATTATAATTATGGCGTACAGTATTTAGTTCGGGTGATTACGTTATTAAGGAACTTTGCTCTAAAATCCGAAGATTCTCAGTTTTTCATTTTTCTTATCAAATATTGCGTGTTTCATAGACGACTGTGTCCCAAACTAGTCGACCAACTTATGTCTACTACACCTTTCCTGGGAAAAGTGAAGTTCAGGTATGCCAAGGCCACACTGACTGCTGGCCTTAAAGCTGGGATGCGTCAAGTTGTCTCTGGACGCCATTTACGCGAGGCTGGACGAAATCGCCGCTGCACATCCGGCGGAAGTATTCACTTCCGTCATCGGAACCACTTACGAAAACCGGGAAATCAAGATGATCAAGTTCACGGACGGCACTGGCAATTTAAACCATCGCGTGATTTTCATCGATGGAGGTGAATTTCCAATACAGTATTTTTATATTTAAAGGATGAACTTCACTCTTCATCGCGGCCTTTTCTCATGCATGAATAAAATGAATTTTTGAAAATATTTAAAGTAAGAAAGAATTGGATCATGAATGAATCAGTAAGCCTCATTTTTGCTGAGCAAAATCTAACTGAAACTCAGTCATTTTTTGGTGCGCCATTTGAAGAATAATACTGTACTGTAATAATTTACTACATTTATGATCCAAATCAAAAAAGGGTCGATTTTAATTGTGAATTATGTGAAATATTCTTGTCCATCTTTATTCAAAAATCGATTTAATCAGGCTCAATTTTTTCTGGTGCCATTTAGCTTTGGTTTTAGAAAAAACTAAAATAGAAAAAGGAATTAATCAGTGCGCCAAATTTTTGCAGAACAAAATCTAACTGCTGTAGCACAACTTTACGAGAATTGATGGATTTGCTGCATTCTGGTCTGCCATTTGAACCGTAATGATTTGAAATTTTCTGTATGACTCAAAAAATTACAGACTTCAATCATAAATTGCAAAATATTCTTGCATACCTATATTAAGCAATCGATTCAGTCAGGCTCAATTTGTTTCCCCTTGTTGCATAGCTTTGATTTTAACAAAGAGAGGATGAATTAATGAATGAAACAGTGCGCCAAATTTTCGCAGAAGGGAATCTAAGTGTAGCGCAAATTTATTATTGATACTGAATTTTTCCATATTTCGGTCTGCCGTATTTAAAGAACACTGATTTGACATAATATCTGAATAATTCAGTAAATTTTTGATTTGGATTACTGTATAAATTTTAAAATACTCGTGTTCGACTATTACACAATCGATTTAATTAAACAATTTTTTGAAAAACATTTTTGATTTTAACTTCCCGATTAATGGAATTTTCAGGGACGCACGCTAGGGAATGGATCACGGTGTCGACCGTGATGTACTTCGTCGAAGAATTGGCAAAACTGAGTCTGACGGACACTTTGCGAGCCAATTTCGATTGGCACATCGTGCCAGTGGTGAATCCCGACGGATACGAGTACACGCACATCACTGACAGATTCTGGCGCAAAAACAGGGCTCCGATTACAGGGGTTCGAGTCCGGAGAAGGTGATGAAAAACACTGATTATTTATTTCGAATATTTATTCGGCTGACTGATTGGATTGATTCAGTGTTGAGACGGGAAAGTATCAAGTGACGACCCCCGAGGACTCAGATCCGCAATTTGCCAAAAATTGGGAAAGCCAGCTGAATCATGGAACCAACTTCAGAGTGAATCGGTCAAATGGTCATGACTTCCAATCAACTTCTGAATCCTCTAAACTGAAGACAACAAAATCAATATTTGACGGTGAGAAATTTCAATTCTTTCCCTCAATTTTTGTTTTGTGTTTCACACCAAAATGTAGTGTTATCCTTAGTTGTCAGAATTGATGAAACTAAATACAAATGCATTGAACATCATCTTTGCAGAGCAATTTATTTTGTTCTGTTAGGATGACATGATAGTCCAGAAATGTTATAATTCTTATGGGGGCAATGGGAAGTGATAGAACTTATTGTTCTGTCACTTCCATCACTTCTTGTTCTTGTTCTATAAGTGTGCATATATATATTTCCCAAATCCAATGTATGCAACCAAAAAAAGACCAACAATGAACACTGGAAGAGTGTTTGGGCACTCCTTTATAGACTCAGAGAAGAAAGGTACATGGCCTTCTATATGAACATAAATTGAACCAGGACAATTGAGAGGCAATCAACTGGTGACCAGACACAAGCCAATAAGCAAAGTCATTTCTAATCTGACTTGCAATAAAAAATGGGGAAAACCACAATGATATTGGGTATTGTTATTGTGTTGCAGGACACACTTGAACATCAGGATGACAGTACTGTACTGTAGTTTAAAACTCAGCTTTTTAAAGTCACCTTTTAGTTTATCTTGATTGATTTGCATATTGTGCACACTTTTCAGTTGACTGAGGAATATCCACAAATTCAATTATAATTTTTCTTCAGCAAAATATGCTCATTGGATAATGTCATATTGGTTTCCTTAAAAAATAAATTTATTTTAGCGAAAAACATGTAATGTTGAAGCTCAAATAATATTGTGATAAAACCCACGCATCTGGCTTGAAATCCCTGAAAATTTACCTATAACCCACGCGTTCTAAATCTTAGTCAAATTTCCAAAGTTCATTTTGTTTTCACTAAACTGCTGGGGCCATATTTTATGACATGTGTTCCCGAAACCTCCATAAAAATGCACATTAATATTGTGAAGCTTTTCCTATTCAAATGGAAAACTTTCTGCATCCAGGACATGAATGGATAAAACACTATTCTAAAATTCGGCTTGAATTTGACAAGGACTTACGAAGGTTCTTCATAGGCATTTTGCAGTAGTGTGGATTATGTTAGCTAATAGGAAATTCTCATCGAATAAGTACAAAAATCAGATTTTCTTTTTTAGTCATACGTATTTGTGCTCTTGAAAAGTAGACAAATTTTTTAAATATATTTTTTCAAAGTCAGGGAGAAACTTCGGGAGAAAATAAGCCAGAATGCTTTTTGTTTCAATTGATCTAGAAAAGTTCTTAAACGCGATTTTCATAGCTTTTTGTGTACAATTACTTTTTTCAGATTTTTTAAAGATTTGGTTAATCATTATTAATTCGAAAGGGTACTGTTAACAAATACCTACGTACCTGAACTGTTCAAAAGACGCAGTGATTGAAAAAATAATTCGATTTTCTCAATTCAAATAAGCTTTCTTTCAAATAGATTCTTTGACATTTTCCACTCTTTCGCACTTCTGTCCGAAATTAATGAGAATAATGAACCCGTACAACTCAAGCATTTTACGCATTCTTTACTTCAAATTCTATTTTGCTTTTTTTTTTTTCTGCAGGACAAGGCGAACAAGAAGTGACAAAATTTTGCGTTGGGACGGACCTGAACAGGAACTGGGGTTACTACTGGGGCAAAATCGGGGTTGATTGGAACCCATGCAGTTACACATTTCCTGGAAGGTCGGCGTTTTCTGAAAAAGAAACCCAGGCTATGAGGGATGCTTTGGAGCCCGTGGCAAAAAGAACACAATTGTACATTTCTTATCACAGCTACGGAGAAATGATTTTGCTCCCTTGGGGTTACTCTTACTTGGTTCCCGGGAATTTTCAAGATATGAAGGATAAAGCCAGGATCTATTCCGGAAAAATGAAAACCAACTACAAAGTTGGCTCTGGAAGTGAGAATTTTTTTTCAAGCTATTGGTTTTTTTTATACAGGAATCATGTATTTTTTCAGCTTGGATTTTGTACCCTGCGGCTGGTGTCACCATGGATTGGGCAAAATCCAAAGGAATTCAGTATGTCTTCACCTTTGAACTATCTCCTGGAAGATTCATGTCAGTGCCTGGATTTGCTATACCATCCACCGAAATTACCCGAGTTGGCTCTGAAAACTGGGATGGCTTGAAGGCTTTAGCGGAGGAATTGACAAGAACTGTACGAAGAGGATCTGGATAGGAAATTTCAACGAATTTAAATTAACTTATTCCCGTGTGTTGATTATGTCTTAATGCTTGATCTCTCTCGCGTTTCAACTATGACATGGATGATTTACTCCCCAGATGTGCGACATCTGGGGAGTAATCTTGTCAGGGAACCTTTAGAGCACATTGCTCTAAAATCCGATCAAGAGCACAAATGGCGGTTTCCTTCTATTGCAGTTGCCGGCGTAAACGCGAAATGCGCGATTGTTTTCCTGTAGTGAGGCAACGTTTTTTGTTCTGACGAGGAATGACGAATTTTGCGGTCTCATGAATTAGTGCGTTTTTCTCCGTCATCATGATAAGTACAGAATGAAAGTTGCTGTTGACTTTCAGGAGGTTCTGAGAGCTGTTCGTTATAATGTATCATTTCCGATTTCAGAATCATTCCGAATGTGCTGTAAAAAAGGAAATGAATTGGGGATACGAGATCAAGGCTCGAACTATTCCCCCTCAGAATGTGTTGCAAAAATTGCGATTTCGGGAAATTCATTGGAGTGCGCGGAGACGGTCGATTTCAAACCTAGCGACAGAGTTCTACAAATCGGTGTATCCGAACTTTTCTGTGGTGAACGTCGCAAAGCCTCCGACGTTTCTGAGGAAATTTTCTCTTGATGGACGCTATATGATAGGATATGCAGTGGAAGGAAATTATCTCGAAATTTACCGCTACAACGGCCCCTGTGCCGCAGCGGATTTCATGGCCCGGTCTCACTTTTGTAATGACCCGCAAGGAACAGAGGAAAGTATTTTGTTGGACGCCTTGGATGAACGTCGTCGTGTGTTCAGTTTGTATTTCACATTAAAGCATCGTATCCACATTGGTGACGCGGATTATCAACTCAGTCGGGAATGTTGCCTTTTCACTCCGAACAACAAGTATGTGATCGTCGCTTCTTTCTGCACGCTGGTCGACCGTAATCCGTTCATGTTTGACATGTATCGCTCGAATGAGAGTCCTACGAATTTGGTTCCACTCGAAAATATTTTCATTGACATGGTGGAACTCGAAACCGGGATGATCACGGATAGAATTACCTTCATCGCCGACAAGATAATGTTGGTCAACAATGGTGGATTGCATATCTTTGATGATACATTTTCTGTTTTGTCGCTGCAACAACAAGTGGTTCATATTTTCAAGATCACGGATCATGGGTCTTTCGTGCCTGTGAGGAAAATTGGAAGGTTTTGCTTTGATGATGACGAACTACTGATTGGTTCAGTGCTTCCCAGAGAAGATCGGTATCCGTTTGAAGAAAAATGCTTTGGTGCGCTCAAGCAACGGATTTTAGCGCACTTATTCCTTCAAGCAAAAACGCGGGAAGAGAAGCGAAATTTCGCACGCGATTTTGACCTGTATGCCAGTCTGAGAATGTGGAAAGTGCAGCTGTTGGATGCGAATCATCTCCTGATCAAATATGCTTCTGAATCCATTGTTACCATACGAAGAGCTGATGGTCCTCCTCACGCACCGAATACTTATCCAATTTTTTTCGTGATCTATGAAATGACACAAGCGAAAGTTCTGGGGGTTTATGAGAATTCTTCTCCCGAACTGTTGTCATTATTTGAGCAGTACTCGGATTTCTTCTATTGCACACATCTGGTTGCTTCTCCGAACACAAGCGTTGCGGCAAGGAAAATTCACCAGCGCTGCAAGCAAACCATGACCAGTGCAAAGTACGGTGGTTCATCTGAAGCCACGAAACGCCTTCTGTCCCTGTTACCGATCGGAGCTCAGTCGCATTTGATAACTCCGTATTTGGATGTGGACCTGTTTAGTTATGACGAAAAATATATTTCACAGTTGGACAGACCGAAAGCCATTCCGGATTCGCCAGTGAGGTTTTATGGTCGGGATTCGCAATTGTTGAAGTTCAAAATTCACACAGGACTTCCGCGGGGAACGCATTCTGCGCAGTTTTCCACCTCGAGAAGACCAGTGGCATTTTTGTTCCATCCGTATGATCCGTTTGCAGTGTCTGTGCAGCGGACAAACGTGGATTATGTGGTGAATTTACATGTACGCCGAAGTGATGACTCAAGTGATGCCAAATCATGATCAGTGTTTTTTTTGTACGATTCGGTTTCATTTTTCTTGAGCGCACAATATTTGCTGACTGGTAGCTGGCATATATGCTTACCATAAGCTTACAAAAAAATTTATCGCAGTTCAGTTGGAGTGCTACGCACGAGCCTAGTTGCCCGTAATGCTTTATCTAGTGCAGTAAAAATTCGATTCACGTGGAAAATGATGAACAAATTCTGTATTAGTTTACACGAGTGCAGTAGTTTCTCTAAAGTCACTGACGCATATGCTCATCGTCGAGGGATGAAAGGTGGGGTTCAGTTTGAAACTTCATGAATAAATCAAATGTTTTAATTGTTTAGTTTCTTATGTTTAGTACAGTATCGTACTCTTAAATATTCCTAGGAGGGAATTTGGAGGTGTGAACAGACTACTTGGAGCAGAAGTGCTTGTGGCTAGAAATCCAAGAGCAGATATTGTGCGCCGTTTTGTCGATTGACTTTCTGATTTTTTTCCCTTGCATATTTCTGCAATGAGTTACTGTATTTTCTTGCTTGGCAGATGACGGGAGCGAAAAGATACGTTCTTTGGTGCATAAATGAATTCCTAGATATGAGGTTACCGGAGTTCAACGCGCTATCCAGTCTGTTCAAATTGGATTTCAAATTCGTCGAACCACCATCCGAAAAGGTTAGTGATTCAGTTCGTACATCTCTCGCAGACGTGTAAAATTTTGTTTTCAAAATCTTTGAAAAACTGCTGAAGCAAGGAAGAATTATTCTTTCCTCGCCTGTTGATAAGATTTGCTAACTTTTTAGATGTCCAAGTACCGTAACTTGTGCATCGGTTAATAGGAAACTTGATTTCCTTTTTTCATTGTCAGTGCCTTGCTTGTTTTTTTGTAGCCGATGATGTCCATCACGTTCTTTCGCGTTCACTTCGTGCTCATGCGCGCACATTTGCAATATTTCAACGATTTCTGCGACGAATGTGTTGGAAATTGCTTCAATTAATCGGGTGTCATGGCCGTTCTTTGAAATAAAAGCATACACATTTGTGTTTCTTACCTCAGCCGTTTTTGTTGATCGACACCGGAAACAGGGAAGCGCTTCTTCAAGTTATGTCTCGATCAATGCTGGTAAAATTTTGCCTAGAACTTTGGGCTGATGCGCCATCTTTGGATGTGTTGAAAAAGTAAGTTTTGACATACAGTATAGTGCTACAAAATCCATCGAATACCGCAATAGTGCGAATATTTTCCAGGGACTTACTATCGGAGAAAATGACGGATTATTTTGCGCCGTACGAACATAAAAGCTTCCGAATGGTCGTGGACTCTTACGGAAAAGCCATGTTGAACCGCGATAAGTTGGCGAAAATTGACGTGAGTTTTCGGGTTTCATGAAACCTGTCATCCAGAATTGTTTTATTAAATTTTCCCAAGAGTGATCAAGAATTTTCCGGATAACAGTGCCGATGATCTCAAAAATGTTACTTCCAGGGTTTTGAATACTTGCCGTTGAAAGGCCCGGTGGATCTGAAAACCCCTGAATTGAAGATATACTGCTTTGAGTATTACGGCATGGACCCGAACAACATCCCGGAACACCCGTATCGAGTATTTTTCGGAAAATGGGTTCGAACACGTAAATTCAATTAATTTGTTCCTGTTGAAAATTTCTCTGTTTACGGTTTTTTTTTCCTTTCACCCTCCAGATTGCCAACGGCCAGCGGAAAAAATTATGGTCTTTCAATCTGAAGGAACGAATTTATATCGGGAATACGTCCATGGAATGCACTTCTGCGTTCATCATGTCGAATCTTGCGAAAGTTCGTGATGGAGACGTCGTTTTTGACCCATTTGTTGGAACAGGTAACCTACTTTTGCATTCTTACGAAGTTTCTCCTGCCGCCTTCTACAAACTAAAATTGTGGAAAAACTGCAAGAGATGAGAAACTGATTTTAGACTCGATTAAAAAAATCAGATTTAAATTTCAGGTTTTGGAAAAGTGCGAGGAGAGCTACATTTTAATGAAGCTTTAGCATCTAATACATGAAAAAAATTCTTATGTAATATATCTTGTGCTTTAAGAAGTTGTTCATGAATTTTTTTCAAAAGTCATTCCAAGTGCTAATATTCAGGGTTTTGTACAATTTTAATTTACTTCGGATTCAGTGTGGAAATGAAAAACAATGTTTTGAACGAGTATTTCTTTTTAAGTCACGGGACATTGTGATATTTCTTCGGGAGCTCATTTCCGCCGGAAAGAAACCTTATCAACCTGTGTTAGCGGTTTTCTTTTCAATGCTTGCTTTTTAATTTCATTAGTTTTATTTGAAAATTGATATACTATCTTGTCCAACGTATGCACTAGAGTTTCTGGAAAAGTTGAAGTGCTGTTGGTAGTAAGAATGTACCTCAGGTTTGGCAAACATTTTTCCGGTTTCACGGGGTGTTGTGAGACTGACAAATATCCGTGAAAATGCGACGTTTTCTCTTAGATGTGATGTTGTCTGACGCACGTTATATTCGCCAATTTATTTTACGGTATTCAGAATTGACATTTTGATGAATTTCTGATTTCAGCTTCAATTTTGATAAGTGCTGCTCAATTCGGAGCATCTGTTGTGGGAGCAGACATGGATTTTCTCACGTTGCACGCTCAATCGAAGCCGACGCGGGCTGAGAAATCGAGAGATTTAAACAAGTCGGAACGAAGAAGGAGACAGCGTGGCGAGAACGAGAGCATCCTTGCAAATTTTCAGCAATACGGATTGACGTCAAAATTCATGGACGTCGTTTTGGCCGATGCGAATCAGAGCCCGTGGCGATCTGATCTTAAATTCGATGCGATTTTGACTGATCCACCGTATGGAATTCGGGAAGGAACGAAGAAAATTGGACCCAGGAAACGAGACGTGGAGATGACTGAGGAACAGATCAAAGTTTGAAAAACCCATTTTTATTTCCCCGTAGGTATTTTTGTGTAATTGTTGTGTCTTCGTTTTCAGCGTTATATTCCGACAAGAATACCGTATGAATTATCAAACATCTACTCTGATCTCATCGACCGAAGTGCTCATCAGTTGGTTGTCGGCGGACGATTAGTCTTCTGGATCCCAGTGATTTTAGATTCCTATTCCGAAGATATGGTTCCGAAACATCCTTGTTTCAATTTAATCGGTAAGAACGCTGAAAATTTTCCATTTCTGTCGAACGCTTTTTGGTCGTGTTTTGAAGATTGAAATTCTTCCTTATCCTTACTAAAACTTCCTTCGGAATGCTTGAATCTATCTGTCAACCTTGAAAAAAATCCTACATTGGAAATATAAAAGCCTTCATCTGAAATGTAAAAGCTAGTTGAGATGCATTCGTTGGGTATGAATTTGAGTTAATTAGATGTAAAATCCAGAACTTGAGACCTCTGAGTCATTTCTTGAAGCGTTGAACTCATTTGGTACTGTAGATGGTCTTTTTTGTATCATGTTCGGCAAATTAGTTATGTGTACTGTTGTATGTTGTTATAAATCTTCATGAAAAGGTATTCCGGGTAGCAACAAAGTATTTCAGAACAGAATCAAATTTGAGCGAGTGATGGAATTTACCATGTTATTTTTTCTATTTATCGAGTGTTGAAAAAATGAGAACAAGTACTTTACTATGTTTGAAGGCAGTGTTCAAGTTCTCAGAGTAAGTAAGAATACTGTATTTGTGTGAAGAGAAAATACTGTATGCAGGAATTAGATTTGCATCAGTTATTCATTCTGTAATCTTGTTTGGTCGGGTTATGTGTGAATGATTTTGTATTAAGAATACTTTCGTTGAAGGATTTAGTACAGTATTTTTTTTGCATGACTCGATTCTCCGGCGTTGGGTGCTGCAGTTGGTTTCCCGTTCTTGAATTATTGTTGATTTAAAAGTTTTGAATTTATTGGGGTGGAAGTTTCAACAAGGAAGTCGCTGGATTTTTTTATCCCTTTACTATTAGAAATGTCTAACGACTCTAACCAATTCATTTTTTGCAGCCAGTTGCGAGCAAGTCCTTACTGGTCATTCAGGAAGAAGATTGATTGTGATGGAGAAAGTTCGAGAACCGGTGGGAAACGAAAAGGCCACTGTTCCAGAGATGGAGGATTTCGCGAAGCGTTATTTTGCGGGTTCGAAGGGTCTCAATTCTTGACTACGAAATCGTTTTGTTTTAATTTCTTCTGCTGTTCGAAGTATTTTCTCCATTTTCTTCTAAATCATGTTTCTCTTCCTTTCGTAGGCAAAGTGAAACTGTACGTGAAATACTTCGGATTGTTGAAGAGTGTCGGAGTTGAGCCAGAACAATGGCTAGAAATGCGGAAAAGGCGATGTGAGTTGAATGATTTTTTTCATACTTCTAGTGAATTCTGGTACATTTTCTTTTGCATTTCTTTGGAATTTTTCGCGATCTTCTCTTTTCAGGACAACCCTTGCTCGCTGGAGAGCAGCGCAATTGGGTGAAGACAAGAACGAGAGAAGACCTTACCTTGCCTCAATGGTCAGCAACGTCAAAGAAGCAGAAAAATGGCGTGTGCAAATCATCAGAGAGATCTCAAAAAAGGTTTCGCAAATCCAGAACGGTTAGTCTGTCAAGACTTTTTGTACAAGTAGAATTATATTCCTGCGAATACTGTACTGTTCTGACGAATTCATCAGTTTAACGAATGCTATGTTTATAGAATATAGTCGGCAGAAATTCACGAGGTTCAATGCTCGAAAAATCCTAATAAAATGAAACAACAACAAAAATATTAATCACGATGATAAACCATAATTCCCTGGAATGTATCAGTTTTTCGAGCTTTTCTTTCCGCACATGGAGGCCTGGCTTCAAATTTTTCAACTCTTGATCTACGAAAATAAAATCGAATATCAAAAGATGAACGTTTTGCTGTAATATTGTATGCTTGAAAGAAACGAGCGATGGTTCAAAAGAAGTGCCCCATTCGTTCCCAGAAACTTCGCGAGGAAGAAATGCCCAAAAAGGGGATGGGCCTGATACAGTATTTTAATGAAAAACGTGTCTCCTTCGTCACAAAATTTTAATTTTCATATTACCACTCTCCTATTTGAGGCTAGGATTTTTTCTTGATCGACTAATGAGGGTCGAAGATCCCGACTTTGTTTGACTGCGATATACAGTATAATACTGTATATTTTAGAAGTATCCCTTGCTTGACTTAATTTCAATCATTCCCGCAGCTGGATTGGGCGAATTCAAAATCCGCGACTTGAACGACGAGATAAACAAGCTATTGAGAGAAAAGCGGCATTGGGAAATCCGGATCGTGGAGCTGGGAGGTCCCAACTACCGCCGTTTCGGTCCGCGAATGCTGGACCACGAAGGACGCGAAGTACCCGGAAACCGTGGCTACAAGTACTTCGGTGCAGCTCGGGACCTTCCCGGGGTTCGCGAGTTGTTTGAACAAGAACCTCCGCCACCACCGAGAAAAACCCGAGCGGACTTGATGAAGGAAGTGGACGCGGATTACTACGGGTACCGAGATGACGACGATGGGGTTCTGGTTCCCTTGGAACGCGAGGCTGAGATGAAAGCCGTGCAAGCCGTTATGGAGGAGTGGAAGGCCAAGGGAGTGGAAGTTCGTGACAAGCTGGAATTTGATCCGGAAAGAGAAATGGATATCGGAGAGGGCAGAACGATTGTGCATGTACTTGTGCCAACTCAAAAAGATATCGAGCTGGGTTTGCTGAATAGAAGAAAGCGTGAATTGCTCGCGGAATATGTTGATGATGATCTTGATGACGATGATGGAGGAGGTGGTGATGATCAAGAAGAAGCAGGGGAGAAAACGATTGTCAGTGATGCGAATATGGAAGAAGCATAAAATAAATCGATTTTGTAAACTTCATGGCGTGTTGCTTGATGCATATACGGAAATCAGAACTCCAATTAATTTGTGTTCACGTGCAAAATAAACCCAGTAAGACTCATTCATCATCGTTCGCTATTGCAAGTGTAATGTAGCACATGCGTGTTCGTCTGCCGGTATTGCACCTGGATTTCTTACGCTGTTACTCCAAGAAAAATTGTCAATTGTACCGCCTGACGAATTTGTGGAAGATCTTCACCCTCTGCTGAGGTTATCTCATACAAAAGCTTTTTAATCATGTTGCATGATTTAAATTAGGAAATAGAAGTACTGTACAAAATAGTCTTACATAATGAAAGAAGCAACTTCGATGGCTGGTTCTTCGTGTTTCGTATGGCTGGGTCGGACGGATGGTAGTTCGTGCCTAAGGAGCGTCATCTCTGGGCAGTGTTGCTACATGGGAACGTATTTCCGGTGATTCTATCCGTTTGCTTGTGTAGATGTCACTTTCGCGTGAGATACACTTGACAGGGTGATCATTTTTGAAGCGACTAAGTGAGGGAAGAAACGGTACAACATGTCGTACCTTGTATGAATGCGTTAATTAATGTGCCCATAAGAAAACACCCTGAATGGAAAGTTAAGCAGAAAAACATAAATAAAAAATTGCTGATGAATCACACAGGGGTAGTAAAGTTTTGTCACAGGGACTTACGTTTGTGACGCCTCTTCGCAATCTTCGTGATTTAAAGTAATGTTTGCATTTTGAGGTGGATTAAACCATTTTCACATCAATATTGTAATGTTTGGTTTAAGATAAAAATTAATGGAACCCATCGCCTATTTTAATTACAAAAAGCAACTTCCGATTTGAATAATGCATGAACATTCGGTCGGAGAAGCAGAGCAGCAGAAGAATAGATATATATTGTAGTACAATAAATAAATACTCTACCGTATTTTAATAATTCACATTCAGAATTACTCTTGAAATATTTTAGTCCTAAAAATAGCTCTGGGCTTATCTGAGTTCATTCAAAATGTGGATACTAAAAGGTTTTGTCATAGTGCATGCTTGACAATAAAGGATTGATTTACCCATTGCAGTAATGTGCTGTTTTGAGAAGCATGTGTTAATAGCTCTATGGCTCCTCTATCGGACAGCACTGTCATGGCAATTTGCTTGAGCATTTGATGAGATTCTTTTAGGAATGTATCTTATTGAGAATGTCCTTACGTTTTTACGTTTGCATTTATTTTTCTTTAATTATCGAATCAACATTAGGAATAATCCAATAAAAATCATGAGATTGTTTTGATGTAATGAAATACTGAAGTTGTAGAAAAATCTCGAGCATTTTTGTTGAGAAAAAAAAACGCGATCTCAGGGACCAAGCGTATAATGACATGTTTCCAACCTTAACTTCGAAGTGGGCCGCGTCGCAATGATGAAGAGATTTAACTTCCACCCGCTTAGATGTTCCGTGAGGCCCGATATGTGTGATTATGATCGGATGCTATTGTACTATTCGTTGCCCCCACCTTTAGAGTATTAACTCGACATGAATGGCATTTTATGTATCAGTGTCCTGATATTAGCCCAGACGATCCTTGACCCGGTATGATTGCGTGTTTATCGATATTTATCTGTTCTCCGTTGAGATACGAGTTCGTATTTTAACGACGGGAAAACTCGAAGTATTAAGCAGTTTTAGTCCGTTTCTGAAGCGTTGTGTGTATTTGTCTCCCCACTTGGAACGATCATTCAGCAGTTGATCGGAAGGAAATGAGTCCA